CAATTCCAAGTAGCTTCAGCCTAATTTCTCTGAAAAGAAGGCAATTTCCTTTTATAAGCTTGGCTGTCCCGAATACCTTGGGTGCTGTTTTTATCCTAGCTGGCACCCACCAAGAGTCACGAAATGAGGTAGCTCATTTAGAATATTTTCCTCATGGTTGTTCTGTTTCCCCATTCAGGAAAAAGATTATTGGTTACCATGGCAATCAGTTTCCACAGCATTCCATGCTAAGTAACTACACAGGTGCAGCTTTACTCTACATTCCTTACTGTAGGTCCCTGAAGATCGGCATGGTTTCCCAGCCTGCTCTCTGTGGCTGCTGCTTAAAATGTCCAACAAAACAAAGTCAAGCCTGATCGTTTTTGAAAGGCATGAATGTTAAAAACAAAACAAAACAGACTGCACATCAATTTCCTATAATTGTGGGGTTATTATCATCAATTCCCCTATTGTAGTTAGGCACCTAACTGAAAACCTTCTTGAACCTTCCTTTTTAAGCCTAGGATTGTACTTCTCTGACCATACTTGGAAAATCAGCAATGAGATTATGATAAAATCAAAGCAAGGGGAATGCCATGAGATTATTCGCCATGCTCTACAACATGGCTTTCCGGTGTGGGTAATTCTTAACCCTCTCTCCCTCGACAACTCACAAACTGCTCTAAAGAACAAAAACCAAGTATGGACGCTCTCAGATGAATAACTCTGTCCGAAGACTTCACCTTGGAGGAAAAGGGAAACACCTATATTCCCACTCTTGAGCTGCTTTATACTAATTTAATTGAGAGTCTTTTGAAAAGACTTTTCAACTACCCTAGTTCTGTTGAGAACGAGACTGGTAACAATAATAAAAGATGGCTTTACACAAGCCAAATAGACTTAATGATGGCCTTGCTAAATCATGGAGCATGCGGACTGAGACTTTTAGCATCCACTAGAAAAAAATTTCCAATTTTTTATTCTTATCTTAACATTACTTATAGCCTTTGCTGGTTAGTTTCTCAATAATCATTTGTCTCGAGCTAGTGGGATTTCTATGTACTGTCTGTGTATTATGTCTGCTTATGACTTTATTTGAAGTGGCAGTGGTGCTTTGTGATTAAAAATAGGATACTCCAAAGGGATTTGCTATTACCTAATGCTAGTCAATTAAAAACAAATTCTGGCTTTAACTCCTTTTTCTGCAATTTTTTCTAGCTCATGAATGACTTTTCATTTAAAAAGACCCATTTCATGACACATCTATGAACCTCCCATTGGAGGCTACCATCTCCTGCTAAGGGCATGGAAGTAAACTCAGAAACTGAAACAGATGCCTTCGCCCACAGATTCTAAAATCAGAGGGTATTCATAAACCGCCCCACAAATCTGAGAGCAGAGTGGGAAACAGGAACTGTTAAAAACTGAAATGTTACTGAAGTACTTTCTTCCTCTTCCGGGGAGAGAAATGCATTCCTTTCTAGGAAGTTCAGTACTTCCTTAACAAACCCGTAATTTAGAATTGGAATTCATGGCACAACAGCTCATTTAGGGGAAAAGATAGTTACTAATAGATGAAAAGCCCTATAACGGCTCTCCGATGCCTCGCAAAAGTGTACAGGAATTGTAACAAAGTAGGGGGGTAAGGCATTTATTTTTCTAAGGACATGTTTCATATCACATGTTTCAAGGTTTTACTTACAGCTTTGGTTACATACATACATATTATATACATACAAGTACTTCTTGGTATGTGAATCACACACAAATGGGAAAGAAAATAATTGGCCAATTGTAGTTAGAACTGACTAGAAGAAGCTGAAATGATCACATGCATTAGGAGTAATTATAGCACAGTGAACCCTCAGATTTACAAAAAAGTTGCTCTCTATCAGCTGACAAGAGGCAGCTGTGAGGACACCCGCCCCTGTGAGAAACAGACACTGAGGAAGGGCCCCTGGGCTAAAAGCACAGAAGCAGCTGACTGCCATCTCAGCAGGTGGGCAACAATCGGTTTGGTAAAGAATACAAACAGGAGGAAGTTGTGCTCATAAGCTTAAATGAGGTGCTGAAAATGTTGAAATAAGAGTTAATTAACAGCGAGAGAAAGACCCAGAAAGGGAAAATTAGTTCAGAAGGAAATGGTTTTTAAAGGTTGTTGTTGTTGTTGTTTCAGCATTTTAGAGTAGTAACAATTTGCATTCTAACTTGCAGGGATCAGTGATGACGGTATTTGAAAAATGGCAGTATCATTTCTTTAGTATTTTATCTTTAAGTAAAAAGCTCAATTTGTCTGAAATGTACCAGTTTCTATCAGTATGACAACACATATCAGACAAACTGGCAAGCAGATATTTGTTTTTCGTTAACCTTTCATCATAATGTTTAAGAAACCAATAACCCGTTGTCACCACACAAGTGTCGGTTCAGAGTTGAGATCCCCAGCATCCACATAACTGCTGAGGGGGATGGCATCCTACCTGTAATTCCAGTACCAGAAAGGCAGAGACTGGACACTCAAGAGTATGCTGGCTACTTAGATTAGCCCTACTGATGAGCTCTGAGTTCAACTGAGAGAGACCCTCCCTCAATCAGTAAGGTGGACAGCAATCTAGGAAGACCCCCAACATTAATCTATGGCCTCCACTCTTGTCATGCATATGTGTGCTAGCACACACATAAATGCACTTGCACACACACATAACAAATATATACTTGTGTGAAAAAAGAGCGCTTTAATATTTCAAACTTAAAGCAAGATCATAATTTTATAACGAGAAGTGACCACATAGTCTGGTAAGTTACAAATTGGTCTAACAGTTTTTGCTGGTGTTTTTAAATCTTGGGTTCCAAACTCAAGCAAGAAAATGTCAATTGTCAGTGCAGAACAAACAAAACAATATCAAAAAAAAAAAACCAAAATTGTTGTTCCTTAATTCAGAATCATGTGTAAACATTAAAAACACGTATTAAAAACCACGTGTAGTAGGAAAGCAGTGACACTCCTGTAATTGCGTTGCTCAGAGGGGATTGGGAGTTCAAGGTCAGCCTGGGCTAAAAACTGAGACCCTGTCTCAATCAAAACAAAAACCACTACTCCCGGCAGAGTCTATAGAACTTTAGCTGATGTTATTTTGAACTGCATTGGTATTGATTTATAATTTTTCTAAGCACAGCTTTATGGTTTGGAAATACTATTATGTCCTGAATTTTCCAGGTCACTTCAGGTTTTGAATATTCTGTTTAATGTCAAATGACTTTAGTTTGTAAAATATGGTCACTGAATTTATAGAGTTACTGTCATAAAAGTAAAGTAGTAAAGGCCTTTAGCAGTGTGTAGCAATTCTATTTCTGGGCCATGATTGTCGAGTTAAATCAAATAAAAGTTAAGTTCAGCCTGTGAATCTACCTAATCAAAGGGTATCTTAGGATAATGAGGCCATTTTAACTTTATGATTTTAAAAACACGGTTTTCACACATATAGCTATAAAGCTATGGATGGCTAATCATCTTTGCCATATAGAAAATGAAAACGTACTTGAGAGTTATCGTGCTAATGTATATTTCTGTTAATTAAAAAGGATTGGGTGACAGGCCTTTGTTTCCAGACTGTAATTGATATTCTCGGTAGGTCAGAACTGAAGGGATTCATTGGCATTTGCGAAACTGCAGAACGATAATTATCTGAGGGAATCTAAGTTTTACTTTAATGAATTTGATTCATTATGCCACGCAGAACCATGGCTAGGTTGCGAACGGCAACATTTAGAACATTTGGGAGCTCCCCTCAGCTTTAATTACTATCCTTTGTAACAGGAGGTTTGTTCCTAACTCCACTTTTTTTTTTTAAAAGAAGTTCATGGCATCAGGAGGCGGGAAGTTCAGAATGGGTATTTATGACTCCTAAAATTAACGGTGATGTTCCCCAAGTCTACCACTCTCCCTCCCACGTTTCCCTGCAGGTTGGGGTGTGAGCAGCCCGGGGATGCTGCGGCGAACCCACTGGGAGTGGAAGACAGGACATTACCGGCGACACTTCGGCACGGTTGCTTTGAGTGATTCACTCGCGTTTGGCACATTTGTGCCAAGGAAACCTCCTTCCGCCGCCTTCTCTGAGCTCTCCTCCGACTTTCTCCAGCGCGTTAGCCCTTAAGGAGAAGCGAGAGCAGGTGGGCACACAGCCGCTAGCCCAGCCCTCCACCCCTGCTCCTTTCCCTAATTTAGCAGTACTTCCGGCCGCGTGACATCATCCCCCGCACAAGGTGACGTAAGCGGAGGGTGACGTGTGTGCGGCGAGGAGCGCGCTGACGTTGCTATTTAAAGGTCCTCCTGCGGGGAGGATGGAGACACAGCGCGAGCACCCGGCGAGCGGAGCGGAAGAGGCCGTGGCGCTCCCGAGCCAGCGCAGGAGCCGAGCGCGCTGCCCGCCCGCCGCTGGCCGCTAGGGGAGGGGAAGGAATAAGGGACGGACCGACGGACCGTCCGGCTAATCCCCTCCGGGCTTGTCCCTTCCCCGCTCTGCTCGGAGCCCGGGCCCCGCCTCCGCCGCGCCCCACCTCCTCCGCCGGCCTGCGGCGGCGGCGGCGCTCCGCCCCTCGAGCCGGGAGGGCCGCGCTCCCGGCCCCGCCCCGCCCCGCCCCCTCTCCCGCTCGCCCGCCGTGCTCGCCTCACGCCGGCGGCGCGGACCGGGAAGCGGCGCCCTCGGCTGCGCTCGGTTCGGAGGCGCTCTGTGGAGGCTGTGGCAGCGACGGGCGCCAGGCCGCCCCGGGGCCGGCGGAGGCGGCCGCTGAGGGGAGCGTGAAGAGGCAGCGGCGGCCCGGGGAATGTGAGGGGGCACGGAGCGGGAGAGACGAGCCGGGGTGGGAGCGCGAGCCGCGGCTGCCGTGCCTCGGACGAGCCGCGTGCCTCTCTCGCCTCAGCGCGCGGCCGCCAGGAGCTGGGGGCTGGGTGCCGGGAACCGCGCGGGGCTGGGTTCTCTGATTCATTCATTCTCCGCCGTCTGGAGCCCGAGGCCGCCGGTGCTGCGAGGAGAGGCGGGAAGAGGGGGCGGCCGCGAGCGGGGCTCCATTGTGCTCGGCGGGGGCCGGGAAGCCGAGGGAGGTGGGCTTGGGCCCCCTGCGCTGCTCCCCGGCGGCCGCTGCGACCCCAGCTAAGCGCCAGCCTGGAAATGGCTCCGCTGATGCTCTTCGAGAGAACGAATCGATCCTTCCCAGCCTTCTCTGCCTGCTCTCCACCTCCTCTCTGCTCCGAGTCTTAGGAGGACGAACATTGAAAGGACGGATTCCGATGTGGTGTGCCGTGCACATCGCGAGCGGCCGGGCTTTGCACTTCGAGATTTTTTCTATATAATTTTTTTTTTTAATGTCAGCGACGGGAGACAGGGGCATTGCTGCCTGTAGGATTTTTTATTAAAGTGCACGTCGCGTTGGGTTGCACGCTCCACCCCTAGGGACCTGGTGTGGTGAAATTTGAACCCACCGCCTTAGCCCTGAGAAGGCCAAGTTACCTGGCTCCCTGGAGTGGCGAGGGGGACGTGAGCGAAATGACCAGCGAACTCGTTTTTTATAAGACTCGGTGAAGCTGGGTTTTGCGTTTTCCTTCATGCACACACGGATTTTGTGGAATAGTTGAGTGCCGTATTCTCCGCGCAACCTTTTCAAATTCCAAATAAGCAAATGTTTGAACGTTTTGGTATCGGCGCGAGTGAAATCCTTTTGCCGACAAGAACTAACTGAACAGTCAGCATCGTTGAGTTACCTCCGGAAAAGATCTCGGGGGTTGAAAAGCAACTGCAAAATAACAGACGGAGAAAATTCCTTGGAAGTTATTTTTGTAGAAACTTCAGAGCAAGTTTTCATTGGGCAAAATGGGGTAAGGATTTTGTTCTTATCACAGCTTTAAATCTGTTTGTGCGTGTGTGCTGCTGAGCGGTGGGGGTGGCTGCTTTTAAATACTCCCCCTTGCTCATCGGGTACTACTTTAAAATAGAGATTATATTTGTGTTGTTGTAGAGCGACGCCAGAGGTCCTAATTAGAACGTGTAATGTTGTTTGTTACAGTCTTATTAATGATTTGTATGAAGAGAATGCGCTGGTCTACCCTGTGCCTCTTCATTGGTCAAACCGCTGTGTAGGTTACCAAAATCTTGCCGTCTTAGGTTTGGTTGACCTGGTATCGTTCGAAGAGAAGAGTTGCATTCTTCCAGGACTTTGTAGAAATGATCAGTTGCACAAAGGGACGATTGTAGTGAGTAGTTGTTAGACTGCAGTCCTTGAAACCGATCCCTCCTAAGTTGTTGCCCTCGCTGTGCCCAGTGTTTTATCCTTGAACACCCGAAGCCGAGTGTACAGCGTTAGCTTACTGGCCATTTAAACTAAAATCTCCGCGTCTCACTATTGCCGTCTCCACGGTGTGGTCGCTGGAGAGAGCAAGCTTTTGATTAAAGGGACTTGTTCACTTCTTCTGCTTTTCTCTTTTAAGCTCAGACCTTTAGCTTGTGTCAGCAGTGTCAGGTTTACATCCTCAACATAAGCCAGCCGGGAGTGCCTTTTCCAAACTTTTAATTCTAAATACTGTAGCTTAATAACATGCGAGCAGCTCCTCTTTATTTAAGCTGGAAACCCGTGTTACGGGAGTGGTGATCTATTCATTTTTTTAGGGAATTGTTAGTGCTGTCTCTGAATTCTTCCCGTGGTCGAATTAGTACCGATAAATATGTAGTTGAGGGACAAGGTTTGGAATGATGGATTTTTGGAATTCATTGTGATGGCCTATTAGGAGCACACATTTTAAAGTTCTTGTAGTTTCTTTCTGTTCTGGCAATTGAAATTTGAAGTTTATTAGCTTATACAACTTTTAAAATGTAGAACACGTGTCACAGGAGTCCTTCCTCAGATATTAATTATGGGTTGGTAATTATGTTTAATACTTAAATGACAAGGATAAGAATGTAATTAAAATACCTTACTCTATTTCTGGTGCTGTTAATAGCTTAAATTGCTTAACCTTTATGGACTGTATTCTTATCTGTAAAATAAGGAGTATAAAATCAACCTGTAAAAATGATTTTTTTCTCCTTATTTAATAGTTGTTGACTTTTTTCTTCTAAACCGTTAAAGCACTTAAGCTAGAAAATAATGGTGTTTGAAAATGTTTTGAATCATTTGCACCAATTTTAAATGAGAAAATACTAAAAAGAATATTAATATTGGCTTCCCTTGATTGTATGTAGCTCCACGTTTAAAATGTGTTGTAAAGTCATGTTGGAGCGTCACGTGCACTCGCAGCTACACACAAAATCAAGTGGCAGTTTTTCCTCAAGAAGACTGAATTCTCCAGACTGGAGTGGCAGCGGCATGTAGAGAATCAGTTATCTGTGTCTCTCATATTACGTGAATGCCCACTGTTTTACCAAGTGAAGACTGAGATTAATTTAATACTAATGGAGATTAGTGTTTGAAATATGAATCTAAGCTACTTACATGAAGCACATTTAGACACTTAGCATAATTTGTTTATAAACAACTCACTAGCCTTTCTGTTAGAAGTATTTTAAGGGGCTGGAGGGATGGCTCAGGGGTTAAGAGCACTTGTGCTCTTTCAGAGGACCTGGGTTCAATTCCCAGCACCCTCATGGTGGTTCACAACCCTCTGTAACTCCAGTTCCCAGATCTGATTTCGTTCTTTGACCACTGCAGGTGCCAGGCTTGCAATTGGTGCACATACATACATACACACAGGCAAAACACTGAAACACATAAACTAATATTTAAAAAAGGAGTAAAACAAAATTTTAAAAATGACTGTAATAGAGTCCTGATTGGTGAGTAATATAATTTGAGTTTGTGCCTCCAAAATTTTTTAGGTGCCAAAACTTCATGGCCAATGTGATGATAACTAGTATTAAGAGATCTAGAAAGAAGGATGGGGATATGGCTCAGCAGTTAAGAGCACATTTATTTTCCCCACAATCTGTATTTGGGAATGTGGCCCTTTCTTATTGAGGGTGATTTGGTGGAAGTAGACAAGAATGTCCTACAGCAAAGGCATCTGCCGAAGTGTCTACCCTTTGTAAGTGAATAGCATAGCCATCTGGGCCTCTTTGAAACAGAAGTTAGTATTATATGACCTTTAAAGTTTTCCCAGGCAGTCCTAAATTACCTTACTTAGACGGATATCCAAAATTTCATGTGGTTAAGGAAGTTTATGTATTACAGATGGATTTTTGATGAATGTTATAATATGATTTCATTAGCTTTAATTGTGGGCTACAATTAAAGAGTAAAGGAATTATTTTCTTAAACTAAAATAAATGATTAGGCAGGAAAAAATGACTCTTGTAACACTAGTTTATGAACTGTGGAAAAGGAAAAGAACAGCTGAAACCAACAGTTGGCAGAGTCTGTCAAAGTTGCACGCACTGTTTTTAATTGGAGTGAGGTCAGCTCAAGGATGGCTGTGTAAAAATAGGTATGGCAGACACCTTATAAATAAAGACAATTGTATGTGTGAAATGAAGCCCATGAGAAGCTTGAGTCTCAATGAGGAATACCTGTAAGGTTGTGTACCCCAGGAGCATACCATAATGTTCTTAGTCTGGAACTCTTTCAGAACACTGGAGAAGGCAACCAATAGCAAGCCACTCCAGCCAGTTATCTTGAGCTACTTTTTGTTTTTACTTAGTGCAGTAATGCCTGACTTTATTAAGAGATAGTTATGTACAGAATGGGAGTTTCCCATTCCCTACTAATGGGTGATGAGATTTCTGTTTGTTTTTCCGATATCTACCCTACTTTGCAAACTTTGAGCCTTTTCTTTTTGCCTTGAATTCTTAAAGAATGGAAGTGGGTGCTGCTACATTGTTACCTGGAGTCTTTCTTTGCTGAAGGATGAGAAACTGAACTGCCTCTTGTTTTACTTAAGGCTCTAGGGGTGGTAGCAGACGTGTGGAGATGTTGATCTGCCTGTCACTATAGCAGTGCACTTTGTAAAGGCAGCCATCTGACCTGTCCTAACAATTCAAGTCCTGAGTTTTTGTTAATTCTTCCAAACGTTCAGCACCGATTATATGGCATGTACTCAGCTGAGTACTGTTGAAGAGTCAGTGAAATATGCTTCTTCCCTAAAGGAGTTGAGAGTTTAGAAGTGGGGAAGCCTGGTTAAAGTAGATGTGAGGTGATGAAAGAGCAGTCACAGTATGTCTGTGAGGGGACATTTGCTGCTGTAGGAAGGATAACATGACTTTGGAGCCGGTGATGTTAAATACTAAAAGGTGAGTTCAGGTAGGCCTTTAGATAAATGAGAGAGCATTTAGATAGAACAGTGGTGGACAGAACCACTGCATAAAAGCCTTGCTCTCATGGACTCCTTTGGATATAGAGTGAGTCTCCAGAACTTTATCCAGAATCATGTGAGCCAATGAAAGCTGGACTGTGCAATACTGGGCTTGAAAACTCAAGAGATGTGACCCAGCCTGATGTGGCATGCTGTACACATCTAGTCCTTGGAAAGCTGAGGCAGGAGGATCTGGAGTTGGAGGCCAGCCTTGGCTATAGGAAGAACATGCCTAAAAAACAAACAAACAAACAAACAAAAAACAAAACAAAAAAACAGACAAATTTAAAAATATAGCCTGGCAGCATACATTTTTTATGCTGTGATGAAATACTCTCATATTTAAAATGATAAAAAAAACACAAAATGATATTCTTACTTTATTTGATGCAGTCTGATAGTTTCTATTCAATTATATTCCATTTAATTTTCAAGAAGTGATAGTGAAGATCAACTACTTAGATTTAACAAGCCTGAGGTAGCAACTGGCAATTTGAAAAAACATTGTTCTTGGTGGTGTGATAGGAACCATTTCGGGACTGTAGAAACACTGAGGTAAAACAATGAACTCTGCTGGGTAAAGGAAGTGAATAATGGAACAGCCTGGGAAGTTCCAGCGTGGAGAGGGAGTGGTTGAGAAATGTGTCATGGCCAAAAGAGTCAGGCTGTGGAACTGGGAGTTTTCAAGTGCGGAGGTAGTAATGTGGGAACCTGCATGGTGTGCTCAGAGAAGAGTAGGCACTCATACTCAGGGGAGCTGTGGATGAATAGTTGGAGCGTTAACAAGAGAACTGTCCTTGTTCTTACCTTGCTGGCTTCTGTTACTGACAGTCAAGATTAAAAGGCATTCACATCTCAAAAGATCAGATCTCTGTTCTGCCATTTGAGTTTTCTCTTTGTCTTGGATATTGCTAATGGAATAGAAGAACAGGAAAATGAATCCCAGATATTTCATATTATCTGGAATCGTCAGTTCCTACTTTAAGGTTTAAGTGACTGTTTTAAGTAGCCCTCGTATGTTTGGTTAGGATCTGTCTAGTGAGGTGTAATGTGTGGGCTTCTGTTTGTGTCGCTTGTTTTTAATATCTTACCATTTGCTCACACACTTCGTGGTGACAGTGCAATTTACAAGATACATTATGTTGTTGAAGAAACAAGATTTTCCTGGAGGTCAGAAAGACTTTTTTTTTTTTTAAATGAATGATTTTAAGGTATTGTAAGACTTCAAGTTAATTACAGAAGAATTTGTATGTAATAAGGTAATTTTTAGGTAGGCTTAATCTGTGTACAAGAATTGAGAACGAAACAAAAAAAAAAATGAGATGTTTTTCCTTGAGACATAGGACCTTGCTAAGTAGCTCTGATTGGCTCTCCCAGGGTACTGGCATTACAGATGTGTAAAACCACATCCCATAAAGCCTTTAATCCTTCCTGAACGGTATTATAGGAGTATAGATGAAACTCAGCAGCAAAAACCCAGTTAACAGTATATGAATAAAATTGTGTATCTAAGCCGGGGCGGTGGTGGCGCACGCCTT